CTCTTTTCAGAATCTTTTTTATCCAGGCAATTCTACAATTTTTGGGTGGGGGTGCCATGTGGAACTCTTACCAAAATTTGGTCCGTTGTGAGGGTCTTTTGTGTGATTTTAGGCTTAATGAAATATGGAGTCGTTAAGAATGTATGTTAATGTAACAGCCACTGGCTTGAAACACCTTCGTCTGGCTTATGTTTACAATCTTAAGTATCTATAGCTGTTTAACTCAAGTAGGTCTTGAAAGCGAACAAGGCCTAATCTGTTATATCTATATAAATATTATAGTACTGTCTGTTGTATGTCCATGTAATTACTTTGCAGAGTGCAGATGGATCTCGACTAAAATTGGTATGGAGGCTCATTAGGTCCATGGGGAGATGCATATACAAATTTTCAATTTTTGCTGTTTTTATGGGGGGGGGGGTCTGCCCCCTGAAGATGGATCTTCATCGAGTTTGGCGTTTAGGTTTGTTGGATCCATGCGGAGATACATGTAAATGTGCGGTTTCACATTTTGTGTTTTGTAGTTTTTATGGGCGTTTTTTTACAATTACACATAAGTAAAACACCTTTTTCAAGTCCTAAGATAACATTTCATTAATCATGATTTTACATAATCTCCGTCTAGGGGACGGGTACTCCAACTAGTATATATATATATATATATATGTAGCATGATATTTTAAAACAATGTTTAGTAAGATAGCCAATAATAAGCGACCAAAATGTTTTTAATACGTATTCTACTATAGGCTAGTGTGATTTAAGGTTTTACTGAGAGCGTGGGTATAACGTGTTAACCGTTTAAGTGCGACTTTCGTGTTCTTAAAATAGAAACGATACAAGTACGTATAGCGACTGTGATACACCAAAAAGACTAGAGCAGCATGTTCGAGATATTTTCCACCAGTCCTGTCCAACAGTAGAACCGATAATATCACGTTAATTAAAGCGATCTTTTTCTAAAACAGTATTGTTAACATACTCGTACCAGCCTTAACAGTATTGTTAACATACTCGTACCAGCCTTAACAGTATTGTTAACATACTCGTACCAGCCTTAACAGTATTGTTAACA